AAAATCAGAAAGATTAAATACTTGTGTCTGTGTGGTTGGCTATAGGCAGTATTTTCCCAACTACTTAATTGTAGTTTTATATAAATTTTATGTATTCTCTAACTTTCTGTTCTGAGTCTCTATTACTTTTTTAAAAGATTCATTTGTTTTTTATTTTATGCGTATGTGGGAGTACTTACATGTATTTCTTACACACATGTCTGGAGCCCAAAGAGTCTAGAAAAGATTGCTAGGTTCTCTGGAACTGGAGCTATAGGCAGTTGTGAGGCACCATGTAGGTGCTGAGAACTCAAACCTGGTCCTTTGAGAGAGCAGCAAGTACCTGTAACAACTGAACCATCCCTCCAGCAGCACCTATTACCTAAAAAATTAATGACTCAAAACAGTGCAAAGGGGATGCTGGAGGTAGTATATGATCTATCAATATAGAAAATCCATATGCATCCCTAAAAAACAAAATTTAAAATCTTAAACCTTTCTCTCCATACACCCTCTCCCCAGAGGTAACTTCTGTGCGCATTTTGTTATCGTTTTTCTACCTTCAGAGAAAAACTAAATATGAGCAGGAATAGATTGCATACATTTATATATTTGTTTAGTGTTGGTTTTGTGATGGAAAATACCTAGAATTTAACCAAAGGTGGGGGGAATCTAGTCTTCAAACTTAAAAGCACTAGGCCTCAGAGAATATGTCAAGCAACTCAGAACACAAGACTCTTCGGGGAAAAGAGAAGTGGCTGATAAGAGGAAAGTAGAAGCCATTCCAGAACAATCTTCTGTAAAAAGAAATGGACAGTGGTAAGGAATGTTCCAGGTAATGGAGCCCAAATTCCCTGTGAATGGAGAACTGGACCTCTAAGTTCTCTGGTTCTGGGGTAGTTTTTCTCTGGGACAATTAACTCTGACAATGCTGTCAGGCTTTGGGGGCCAAAAATTCCCTTTTAAGCAGACCCGGGAGTTCCCGGCACACCAAGGGCTTTATGAAGGCAAAATGACCTGGAAGTCAACCATCCAACCATCCAGCCAGAGACAGTGGCAGCCTCTCATTCAGAGGGATGGGGACATGTCTATACCCAGGTCCATTCTCTGTCAACAGGATTCCTCCAAGGCTGTGAGAGGTTCTTGAATAGTATTGTGCTGGTCACCTTCACTCTTGGGAAAACAAGAGTTCTAAGCCTTGTTAAAGGTAGCTTGGAAAACTCACAGATGACAGATTTGGCAGGTGACAAGGATGGAAGTCAAGTGGAATAACTCCTTAGCTGGGGGGAGGACACACTACCTCTTTCATCCTCATAGATGAAAGTTTATGAAAGTTTACATAGAACTTCTTGGTCAGGCACACAGAATTGAAGCTCCTGCCAACCGAGTTCCAATCGCCTTCATCTACATAGTCCACCACACACACACACACACACACACACACACACACACACACACAGACTTCATCCCCCTTGACTTTAGTTAGTGGATTGTCTCAGGTCAAAACTGTGCTTCATGACTGTTCCGGTCATTGTCCCCTAAAGTCCCCTGGAGCTTCTCCTTAGCCAACATAAGGAGTTGTACTCAGTTCCAATTGGTAGATGCCTTTCATCCAAAGCTCACCACCAGCTAGTTCTCAGGGTTAGTGGATCTCAAGAAGGCTCTGGGAACCTTGCTGTTTGTCTCGCTATGCCATGAAGAAATGATGTGAAAAGGAAGACGTGTTTTGCCCTCATTGAGAGTACACTCTGGTGGGAAATGGCCAAGTCCGCATTCGTGTGACACTGCATTGATGTGGACCCAGAATAAAGACTGACAGTGAGAGAATGGGAGCCTGATGCTCAAAGTCGCTTGCCCAAGAGAAGAGGAGAGCTTGGCAGATTGATGGTGCTAAAGTACATGTCAAGGCAAGGACAGCAGATGGAGGTTCAGGGCCTCAGCCGTGGGAATCAAGGACTTGGATAAGGTTGGACAAACTAGGCCAGCATGTGGAGTGAGGATTTGATAGTTGACAAAACTGAAAATGGAAATCTTTCATCATCATCTTAGATGCCCTTACTACACATGAAAGCATCCTGTCTCCTTAGAAGATATGAAAGGGCCATTTTCTCAAGATCACCAAATCTTGCTTTTGGGTTAAGGGGAATAAATAATTTGGCCTAGATTAAACCAAGGATCTCTCACATGCTAGGCAAGAGCTCTACCATGAGCTATATCCACAGGAAGGATTGCACATACATAAATATATATTTGACATAAATAAAAATATTTTACACACATAAAATGTTACAGGATCACACCATATCTTTAGGGCTATGTATTTATAATTAGACTATAATTTCATACCTTATCACATTTTAAATCTTAAAAATTGTGGCTTTCATTTTATTTGGTTGTCTTCATTTTTGTGACATACCAGTTGGCGAGGGATTTGTAAGCAATAGGAAGGAAGATATAGACTTAAATATTGGCTGTCCAAGTATGGAGCTTGCAGAAGACTCCCGTGTTCCAAGTAGTGAGCTCCCTCTATCACATTGCTCTGAGGATACTGCAGAACTGGAGAAGGGTGGAGATTCCCACCATAGCTGAATGGAAGGTGGGCTCCTGCCAGACATGCAAGAGAGGACATCACTTTCAGCTGGCTATTGAGGGGTGGGTATCACAGGCCATACTGACTGCTTCTCGTTAGCTGCCTCTGCCCCGGCTCAACACTGATAGCCCCTGAGTTTTCTGGCTCCCTAACTAAGCCTCTAGCCTCCCCAGAGAACACAGCTGTGCTCTTAACTGGTCTGTGGGTCACTTTGTCAGCAGTAACTAATGTGGGCCACCCTAGGGACCCTTTTGGGGGGTGGGGAGGATGAAGTGCTCTTTCAGGGCTAGGATCATTTAGCCAGCCTACATAAATGTCAGGAAATGGAAACGAGGCCCACACCCAGCTGCTTCCTCCTAAGCAACTGAAACTCCAGGCTGGGATTCATGGAGAAGATACCAGCCACAGCTGGTCTAAAATAAACTCAAATGTGTTGCCGGAAAAGTAAAAATAAGCATGAAACCGTATGGGAAGCCGGATCATGAGGCCTGTGACTAGGAAATGTGGAGCTGAGAGAACACCAGGAATGCTGTCTGATTCCGGTTAGGGTGACTTCAAAAAACACTCAGGGACCATGATGGCTCAGTGCTAAAGGTTGCTTGTCACCCAGCCTGATGACCTGCACTGGATCCAAGGTATCCATATGGTTGGGGAAGTGAAACAAGGTCCACTGATGTCCAAGTTGTCCTCTGACTTCAACTTGATCACTGTGATGTACAGCACACGTGTGTACACACACATACACAATCAATTCATGTAATTAGTAAAAATGCTGGAAGAAAACACCTGAAGCCATGACCTGGATAGCCATGAAGAATTAATTGTGCAGGTGCCCAGCCAAGACAGCAAGGTGAGTGACAGAGGGATCACCTTGGTCAACAGACACGCTGGTACCCCTCTCTCTTCCTTTCCTTTGCATGGACCTCTGTGTCTCCTTTGATCCCCTTTTCCTCTCCTCTCCTTCCTGTGGGTGGTCTTCAAACAACTATGCTCTTTTTCCTTTTCTATCTCCACTTAGCCACCAAACCGCTGGATCTTTAAAAACAGGAAACACTAATCCAATAAACACTGTCATTGCTGACAGCAGTAACTTAGTTAAGGTGGAAAGGTAGAGAAGTAGCTGGGAAATCGAAAACGTTGTCTGCTGACTCAGCGCCTGCCCCCTCTGTTCCTTGCCTTACTGTCCAGTGGGCAGCAATGCAGTACCACTCACTGAGCATGCCCTGTATACAGAGCACTGGGCTAAGAGTATGCAAGAGACTGGAGCCCCAAACCCTCCCCTTGTGGAAACAAACAAATGAGGGAGAAAAAAAAAAAAAAAAACAAAAAAAACCCCAAGCAGCAGCGAGCTCGGCTGCACCGTGAAAATGCACCCAGGCTGCAAGGAGAGAATAGAGTTGTACGTGGAGCAGGAAAGGAGTGCTAAGCAGGACAGCAGATTGCTGTGAGGGAGCAAGGGAATGATCCCTTGCAAGAGATGAAGGCTAGAAACAAACAGTCCCAAAGTCCGGGCAACTCCAGGTGAAAGTTCAGAAGCTGAGAGATGAGAAACCTTTAAGGGAGGACAGAAAAACAGTCTGTTGTTGGGAGGTGGAGGGAGGAGACCCTTCTGAGAGTGCTGCTCCCGTGTGTGTGTGTGTGTGTGTGTGTGTGTGTGTGTGTGTGTGTGTGTGTGTGTGTGTGGGTGTGGTGTGTGTGTATGGTGTGTATTTGTGTGCATGTGTGCACGTGTGAATGCGTGCAGGTATGTGTGTGTGCTTGAGTGTGAGTGTATGTGTGTGCATGAGTGATTGCTTGCATATGTGTGCCGCTATGTGTGCATGTGTGTGTCTGTGTGGTGTTTACTATATTAAGAAAGTGGGAAGCATGCTCTGATTCTCACCAGGGGAAAGATAAGATGCAAATGGCATCTGAGGGAAGTGACTCTACCAGGCACCTGTGGTTAACAGGGACTACCTATCATGATCTCACCAACGAACATGACTGACCTAAGCCTGAGTTGGGTTGGTAGGATTAGAACCTCTAATAATCTCACTGACAAAATTGTTCTTAAAGTTTTCCAAGGTTCGTTTGGCAAATTTAAAATTAACTGCATCTTGAAACAGTGGCTATTTGTAGGATGAAAATATGTGTTTGAGAGTAAACCAAAGTTTATTTTGTTACAAACACCTTGGCTTGTACAAGGTGAAAGGGGGGTCTAATTCGGGTTCTAGAAGCATGAGTCAGGAGATCAGGGGAAGTTCAGTTTTGGTAACCGGCGAAGGCACTGATCTTACCACCATTCCCATTATGATAGTAGGGTTTTTTCCCCTTCTTTTAAAATCACCCCTGGAGAGATGAAGAACTTTTAGGGGACCTTCCAAGGTCAGTGCTGTGTAAGACACCAGTTTAAGAAATAAGATTCCACCCAAGGCCCCAGCCCTTGTCTTACCTGAGCTTCCAAAGCTGAGCCAGAAAAGCAGTCCCCACCACCAGAAGCATCTCTGCCAGAGACCAGGAGGCATCGCTGGGCTGGAGTCTTGGAGCCAGTCTGAAGGAGAGTCCTAAATATCACATAGTCCAGCCTCCCACCAAACATGCAACACCCACTTGGAACTTAGTAATCATAACTGGCTCCATGGCTTATAAAATAAATAAATAGATAGATAGACAACTCTTCCTAGTTGTTTAACCTCTAGAGTTTTCAGTTTCTTCTTCTCAATGAAAATGAACACCCTTCCTACACTTTTTTTTTTTAAACCAGGGGACATTGAAACACACTGTTCTTCCTCTCTGTGCCAAACAAGATCAGGAAATGACTCTCCACGCCTCTCCCATTTCCCATTATGAAATGTCAGTGATGACCAGGGCAGCCTTTCATCTCCCTGTGGTTACAAAACTCTCACTGTAATGGAATTTCTGTGGACATGTTTGACCCTGGGAAGACTGAGCAGTTGGAGGCTGGAAACATCTTTCACTTTTAGATTCCCAGGGCCTCAGCCTGTGTGCAGTCAACAGCGCGCGAGGACAGTGTGAAAGGAGAGCCAATATGGCTGTGCCGAGCACTGCCTTCCACAGCCTCTAGGGCTTAGAATGTAAAGTCCAACCTCTAAAAAGACATCCTGCTGCCCGAGTTCATGGGTAAAGAAGCAACAGTAGGAAAGGAGGGTAATGAAGCACCTGGAGCCAGGAATCTGTCAGATTGTGTGGCACCCTTGCTTCAAGGGGTAGTGGAGACCACAGGGAGTGATTTCTTTGCAGGCTAGGGCAGAGCAAGGCTCCTGACAGGCCAGCATTCCTGCAATGGAAACACACTGTCACAAGGCAGAGGAGCAAACAACTTACACTAAGAGATGGGAAACAGAAAGTAAATGGTTAGAGTGGGCTAGGGGGATAGTGCAGTGAGGAAAGTCACTCAGCCTCGAGCCTGACCTGAGTTAGACCTGGGACCTATGTGTTGTGAGAACGGACTCCTGCAGGTTGTCTTCTGACTTTCATGTACACACACACACACACACACACACACACACACACACACATGTGAAGAGACCTAACAGCAGGCAAGCTTTGTCCTTCCTGAACTGTAGCTCTGTGAGGGGAGTGTAGTTGACGAGTGTGCTTTACAGCTCTGTCAGGGAGCATTGAGAAACTTATACAGAGTGATGCAGAATAAGGTTTTTGGGCAAGGTAGGTGGGTACCAGAACACAGGCTCTGCCCTGGAAATATCCTGGGTAGCCTAGTCAATTGGTGAGTACCCGGTTCAGTGAGAGACTCCGTCTTAAAAGATAGAGCTAGTGGAAATCAGAAGACTTAGACTTCTGCTACAAACACACACACACACACACACACACACACACACACACACACACATACAGTAAATAAAATTTAAATTTTGCAATGTATGGAAATGTAGGGTGAAAACTGAGTCTCTACCCATGGTTATTCCCCTACTTCCAGTTCCCAGAGTACACAGAAGACCACATGGTCACCACATTTTTTTTTTTAGAAGTCCTCTGGAGACATTCTGTCTCAACTCTCACCCCTGCCTTTTGGAGCAATACAGTTCTAACCTATTACACACACCGAGTATGTGTGTGTGTGTGCGCGTGTGTGCGCACACATGCAAGCACTTACTCGAATGTGCATGCACACACACAGTGCATGGATGTGCATGTGGTGTGCAATGACACTGAACAAGTGTGTCATCAGAGGACCCCTTGAAGGACTCAATTCTCTCCATCCACCTTGTGAGACCCAAGGATCAAACTCATGCCATCGGGCTTGGCGACAAGTGTCTGTACCCACTAAGCCATCTCTCCAGGCCCACAGACCTTCCAAGCATCACTTTTTAAGCTCACAAATATATCTTAGAGATTCCTCATTCTTGTTTCCAGGGTGCTTAGACCATGTCATACAATTTTGGGGCCCAACCCCAAATGCACCCCTCCTACAACTCTCAGGAGCCTAACTCCCCCCTCCCCCCAAGTTCTTCTCCAATTTGAGCTGAGGGTATGACATTGGAGTCTCCACTCCTGATGCCCTGTATGTCCTACATGTGAGCATGTGTATAGATGCACTCACTCCCACTTCCGAACAAGGCACAATAAGTGAGACAGCCAGAGACAGTTGAGCCATCTCCAACTGACCCAGTTTGCCTTTCTTGCTGGTGGTTCTCAAGAGCAATTGCAGGCCATGCAGGGAACACAGCATCTGGAAAAGTAGAGAACTGGCCAGATGAATCTGGGCCCTGGTCCAGCCTTTCTGCCTCCTCTTTCCCAGAAGCAGAAGATCTTCAGTGTTTTAGCCCACGGAATCATGTGTTTCTTGGGTATAAAACTCAAGGCTAGCTGATCTCTGGGTCCCTGAGCTGTTGTGCAAGTGGGACACATACTGGGACAACATTCCTGAGTCTTGGGGAACTGGCTAAAATTGCATCTGAGGCTTGTGGTTTCCCTGCTCTATGGGTCTATAGTCTGATTCCTACAACTTGGGAAGAGGAGAGGGAGTCCGGTCTTGGTCTAAGGCAAGTTAGTAACAGGAACACAGTGAAGACACAGAGAAACTGCTTCACACAATCTCAAGTCTTATAGAGAAAGAGAGCACCATATGCCTTTTGTACTATGACACATGGTTTTAGACCCTCTTCTGGCTGGTTGTTTGTTTCATTTTTAGCCAGGGCAGTGTTGACAAGTGAACCCTAGCCCTGCTTATCTTAGACAAAGGCTGTAAAGCTGAGTTGCATTCCCACTCACAATTTTCATTTTTTAAGCAATACTCCTACTTTCCCAGAACAAACAGATGGAGACTACATTTGTCCAGACAAAAGGTCACAGGGGAGGGGAGGAGTTTCTCAGAATAGAAAGATACTGGGCACACAAATGACTCCAAGGCTCCAACTGTGCAGAGAACCATTTGTAGCTTTGAAATGCAAGCTTGGTGCTAAAATGGCTAATGCTTGTTCTCAAGCTGAAAATTGTGAGTCTTGGCAGGCTTATCTTTGGGGCTGCAGTACTGCAAGGCAGAACCAAGAGACACTTCAGGAAACAAAGACATGTGGGTTCCTTAGATAGAGTGAAAACGTTTCCCAAGTGGTGGAAGAAACTGGTATGAAGTGGTACTTTCAGGGATCTCCCTGTATTTCCCATTTCATCTCGGGCTGGAAGAAAGAAGACACAAGATGCACTTGAGATGTCACTAACATTTGGATAACATCGTTTCACATTGCTACTCTTCCTTTGAATGCTTGTCATATGCCAGATATTTGTGCTTGCAAAACATACAAGCCGCAAGGCAGGTGATGTTACTATCTCGCTCTACGTACGTGGAAATCAAGGCAGAATCAGGTTAAATAACTTTCCCAAGTCCACACCAAGTAGCCGGGAAAGGTTTGAAGCTGAAAAGCTGACACCAGTGACTACATTTTCATCCATTAAATATGGCTACTATTATGGGTATTACATCACCACCCTGCAGCCCACAAGGCGGGAGCATCACTCTACCTTCCGTTAGTCCTAGTGATGTGAGGCCCAGAGGACATGCCTGGGAGCAGAGTGGGCTCTCAAAGGCAGTCTTCTGTACTAAGTATGCCTTCTTAGTTCCAACTGCACAGCTGGTACCATGTCCCTGAAGCAAGAGAAAAGGGCCATCTTCCCAGGTCTCCTGTATTCAAGGCTAGGGGACCCAGAAAGCCCACCTTAACCTCAAATGCCACCTGCACTGGGCTATCTCTGGCAGAAGTCATCCTGTTGGAGATTTTGTTTTCCTCGAGGAATGTTAACAATCACCTTTATTGGTTTCACCCTCTCGACTACGCCACTTCCTTCCACTCATCAATTGTACTAATACGAGCTTGAATTTTTTTAGTTAAATAGTGCTTGTGGGGTGAGCAGAGGTGTTTTGAGAGTATGTAGCCAAGGTTTGCCTGGAACTCATTATGTAGACCAGGCTGATCTTATATTAACTATGTAGCCCAGGCTAGCCTCAAAATTATGGCCATCTTCTTGCCTCTGCCTCAAGAATGCTGGGCTTACAGGCATGGACCATGCCCAACTTGAACTTTAATAAATGTCTGTCAGCTCGAATACCTATATGAAGACAACACAGTCAGCCCCTGTAGTGGGCTGCTAGCATTGACCAACAAAGCGAAGGGTGTGCTGGGGAATGCTGTGAGTGGAAGCAGTGTTCTCTCTTAATAAACGTCAGTCCACAACCTCACTGATGGGAGAAATAAAAGGGTTCTGCTCACGTGCCCTGTGCATCTCCTCTATCTGCTGTCCATTTGTAGCCTTTATAACAAACTGGCGAAACAAGGTATGAGTGGTACAAGCTGCCCCAGCACTTAATCAGAAAGAAGAAGGAAGTTGTGGGGAGTCTGACTTACAGTCATGAGACACACAGGTCAGTCCGGGGCTTGTGAAGGGAATCTGCAGTGGAAAATCTTGTGGGTTGGAGCCCTCAACCTGTGGATCTGATGCTAACTCTACGTAGATGGCATCAGCACAGGATTTGAGGGCAAGCAGCTGGTGCCTTCTGGGGATTGGCTGAGGGTATGGGGAAACAACTACCTCAGATCTGCTGTTAAAGCTGTCAGGTGGTGAAGGAGTAGGGAAATACTTGAGTATTTCACCCATTTCTTGTAGTTAAATCTGGGCATAAGACCCAGCTTGCTCTCATCCTAGCTGTGACCTTGCATAGACAACAATCTTCCAACCCACTGTGTCACTTGTTTGGTTGCTCTGAACCCTTTAACACAGAGCGACACGTTGTCCTTCCTCTTGCTTTCCCTTTCCCATATGGAAAAATTGACCTATTCCTTAGAGTCCCTCCTAAGCCCTAAAGATTAAATGATGATAGTGATAATGGCAAGGCTGCCCACTACTCCTTATCTGGATGCACTGGTTTGATAGGCTCCGGTCCTACCCTGCAGCAGCAGCTCCATAGCTGCCAACAAAGGAAAGGTGCTCGTTTTCTTGTCCCAGTGAGACAGAGAATGAGGGGCGATGGTGACTGTGCTTGGAGACTGGTGAACAAATGTAAATTTTACAGGTCATAGATGAAACCATTCCCCTAGCACCCTGAGGCAGTAAAGAAAGCAAATGAAGCACATCCAGAGAGCCATCTGTCCTGGACTGCTGCACAGGTCTGTCCTGGTTTCGGCACACATGCCCAATGGATAAAAACGACAGGCTCCTGCCGGGGCCACACTTTCACTGAAGTGCTCAGACATTATGCATCTAATTGATCATCTTTTTCTTTTGTTTTCATCCATCCTCTCCCTCCATTCCAAGGTCACCAGTTCGGAGTAGTGTTTGAAGAGGAGGTTTGAGAAAAGGCCTCTGAAATTCTGGAATTTCCCAGT